TCAAAAAACCCGAAATCCTACTCAAATGGATATATAAACAAGATATCTTGGCTCGCTCCGCGTCGCTTTGGCCATAAAAAGATTCGGGAGAAAATTTGGGATCGAATGGTGTTTTTCCGGTGACGATCGGACGTCTAGAAGCTTCGATATTGGCGAAAAACTTGCTGAACTTGCAAAAGTACTTGGTACTTGCTTGGTACTTGCCAAAGTACTCGGTACTTGCCAAAGTACTTGGTACTCGCTTGGTATTTGCATAAGTACTCGGTATTTGCCAAAGTACTTGGTACTTGCTTGGTATTTCCATAAGTACTTGGTACTTGCTTGGTACTTGTAAAAGTACTTGGTAGTACTTGGTACTTGCACTCGCCCCCCCCCCGTTCCCCCGACTCTACTCCCACACCTACCCCCTCGGGATAATTCCGGGTTCGTCGGGTAGGAAAACTTGCCACTCTACTCCCCCCCCCCCCCCCCCACAGAGCCATTTGGTATCGATCGGTGTTGATCCCGTGTCAATCGGTCGTCAATAAGCCGAGATATGCACGGCGAATTATTTCAATCGGCGTCGATCAGAATCTTCAGAACGGAGGGACCCACACTCATTTCTGGCCGTATCTCACTTTTCCGAGATGTACGTCAAACTACGTATTTAAAACTACATATTCTACAGCCGAATCTTCCAACTGGGGGTACCTCAGACCGTGGGAACGACTCGGCTCAGCACTGCCGCACGCGCATTCAGCGGCGGCTTGTCGATTTTTCGAGTGTCGGCTGCCGATCTCCCGAGAGCCGGCCACCTGTCAGCCGCCGCTCGGCTCTGTGTTAAGCATATGGGGACGGCGAATTTCTCCCGGAGGGAAGCACCTCGCTCACAAAAGCACGTGAATCAGCCGCATTCCTGTGAGGCGCGCAATGTTGAAGAGATATGTGTGCACGCAGCTATCTCGCAGGCCCTAAGAGAAAAAGCTCGCTGCAAAAACTGAGCACTTCAAAAAACCCGAAATCCTACTCAAATGGATATATAAACAAGATATCTTGGCTCGCTCCGCGTCGCTTTGGCCATAAAAAGATTCGGGAGAAAATTTGGGATCGAATGGTGTTTTTCCGGTGACGATCGGACGTCTAGAAGCTTCGATATTGGCGAAAAACTTGCTGAACTTGCAAAAGTACTTGGTACTTGCTTGGTACTTGCCAAAGTATCGGTACTTGCCAAAGTACTTGGTACTTGTTTGGTATTTTCATAAGCACTCGGTATTTGCCAAAGTACTTGGTACTTGCTTGGTATTTGCATAAGTACTTGGTACTTGATTGGTACTTGTAAAAGTACTTTGTACTTGCTTGGTACTTGCGAAAGTGCTTGGTACTCGCAAATGTACTTGGTACTGCACTTTTGTATGTTTCGACTACCTGGTCTGTTTTGTATGTTTTGAACGTTGTATGTTACGACTTCCATGTATGCTTTGATAAGTGTACGCTGCGGTCTTGTATGCGCTAGACTGCGGTTGTACCGCTAGGTGGCAGCAGCCACCGGTCCGGCCGCCCCAACTGCGGTCCAGGTGGCAGCAGCTGCCGGCAGACTCGGCAGTTTTTCCCGTCGTCGGGCGGTCGGCGGCGAATCTCCGCAACGGAGGGACCGCCACCGAGTTTGTCACGTGAATCAGCCGCATTCCTGTGAGGCGCGCAATGTTGAAGAGATATGTGTGCACGCAGCTATCTCGCAAGCCCTAACAGGAAAAGCTCGCTGCAAAAACTGAGCGTTTCAAAAAACCCGAAATCCTACTCAAATGGATATTTAAACAAGATATCTTGGCTCGCTCCGCGTCGCGTTGGCCATAAAATGATTAAGGAGAAAATTTGGGATCGAATGGTGTTTTTCCGGTGACGATCGGACGTCTAGAAGCTTCGATATTGGCGAAAAACTTGCTGAACTTGCAAAAGTACTTGGTACTTGCTTGGTACTTGCCAAAGTACTCGGTACTTGCCAAAGTACTTGGTACTTGCTTGGTATTTGCATAAGTACTCGGTATTTGCCAAAGTACTTGGTACTTGCTTGGTATTTGCATAAGTACTTGGTACTTGCTTGGTACTTGTAAAAGTATTGGTACTTGCTTGGTACTTGTACTCGCCCCCCCCTTGTTCCCCCGACTCTACTCCCACCCGTACACCCTCGGGATAATTCCGGGTTCGTCGGGTAGAAAAACTTGCCACTCTATCCCCCCCCCCCCCCCCCCCCCCAGAGCCATTTGGTATCGATCGGTGTTTGTCCCGTGTCAATCGGTCGTCAATAAGCCGAGATATGCACGGCGACTTATTTCAATCGGCGCCGATCATAATCTTCAGGACGGAGGTACCCACACTCATTTCTGGCCGTATCTCACTTTTCCGAGATCTACGTCAAACTACGTATTTAAAACTACAATTCTACAGCCGAATCTTCCAACTGGGGGTACCTCACTCACAATCGCACGTGATTCAGCCGCATTCCTGTGAGGCGCGCAATGTTGAAGAGATATGTGTGCACGCAGATATCTCGCAAGCCCTAACAGGAAAAGCTCGCTGCAAAAACTGAGCGTTTCAAAAAAGCCGCAATCCTACTCAAATGGATATTTAAAAAATCCTACTCAAATGGATATTTAAACAAGATATCTTGGCTCGCTCCGCGTCGCTTTGACCATAAAAAGATTCGGGAGAAAATTTGGGATCGAATGGTGTTTTTCCGGTGACGATCGGACGTCTAGAAGCTTCGATATTGGCGAAAAACTTGCTGAACTTGCAAAAGTACTTGGTACTTGCCAAAGTACTCGGTACTTGCCAAAGTACTTGGTACTTGCTTGGTATTTGCATAAGTACTCGGTATTTGCCAAAGTACTTGGTACTTGCTTGGTATTTGCATAAGTACTTGGTACTTGCTTGGTACTTGTAAAAGTACTTGGTACTTGCGAAAGTACTTGGTACTTGCTTGGTACTTGTACTCCCTTGTTCCCCCGACTCTACTCCCACCCCTACACCCTCGGGATAATTCCGGGTTCGTCGGGTAGAAAAACTTGCCACTCTATCCCCCCCCCCCCCCCCCCAGAGCCATTTGGTATCGATCGGTGTTTGTCCCGTGTCAATCGGTCGTCAATAAGCCGAGATATGCACGGCGACTTATTTCAATCGGCGCCGATCATAATCTTCAGGACGGAGGTACATACCCACACTCATTTCTGGCCGTATCTCACTTTTCCGAGATCTACGTCAAACTACGTATTTAAAACTACAATTCTACAGCCGAATCTTCCAACTGGGGGTACCTCACTCACAATCGCACGTGATTCAGCCGCATTCCTGTGAGGCGCGCAATGTTGAAGAGATATGTGTGCACGCAGCTATCTCGCAAGCCCTAAGAGAAAAAGCTCGCTGCAAAAACTCAGCGTTTCAAAAAACCCGAAATCCTACTCAAATGGATATTTAAACTAGGATGACCCACTGATACACGTTTGTTAGAAAATCAGGAAGATCAGAAGGGCAATGCTGACAAAATTGGTCGTGTTTCACCAGGACAATAAATCGGGGTATTTTTCACCGGTTGCAATGTAAACAATCAATTACTGAGCCTTCCAATGTATCTCAAATTGAATCTTTTAAGCAGCATTGGCATCCTTAGGGTGTCTACTTCTTTCTAAAGCTAAAGAAAAAACTGACTGGTTGACGCTTCACAAAAAATAATGACGTCACTGACACCGCGAGCACTTACCCAAAATAGCATGATTCAAGGCGCTTGAAAAGTGAGGAAAAAAGTGCTAGGACTTCACAATTTGGTGTTCAGCCATATCAATAGTGGCAAAACATATGACCAAAGTTTCATTCATCTGCGTCACCTGTAACTATGTTAGGCTCAAAACTTTTCATTCACCCTACGTCAGGGGCGGATCCAGAAAATCTCCAAGGGAGGGGCCATTAGAAACCAGGAGGCCCCCATAATCCCACCTGTTGGAGGCCCCATCTTCCCACTTGCTGGCCCCCCCCCCAAAAAAAACTGCGTCTATTGAGCTTATCTAGCTGTTCAGGCAACATCTCAACATGAATAGCCACTTAATTTTCAGGAGGCCCCCTTTTCAGCTTTTTAACTTTTTATTTTATTTTTGAAAAAAATCGGCCAAGGGGGGGGGGCATGGCCCCCATGGCCCCCCTTGTATCCGCGCCTGCCCTACGTACATATTCCCTGTCGGAACTGACAGCCACCCTACCCAGCTAACCGAAGATAACAGTTCTAAAAGGGACTGTCCTTTACGACATGATTCGGCGACTGTTCGAGTGGTCGAATCAGCGCAGTGTTTCCTCCTAGCTTCTCACCGCACGGTCCTGAACTGAAATGGTCTGCCTACAATAAGCCTAAAGCTACTCCTGATGCATCAAGATGACCGTCGTGGTACGTGCTACGTACCAACTCAGGCCTCAGAGGTGTCAAAATCAAAACTTTCACTCACAATAAATACTACTGTATAACGGCTTGGCCTTTTGCGTTGAAACGTGACCTATCGGTATTCGGTGGGGATGCCCAATGGGCATCGCATTCATACGCGTCACTGTTGGGGCGCTACTGCACAAGCTCAGGTGCAGGTGTCGCCTCTGAATCTCAAGAACGGCCGGGCCGATGGCGTTCAAATAGGCACGCTGTCAGAGACCAACTAGATAGGGACTCTCACAAAACAGGCGCAGGTCTCACTCTGCATGTATCAGCATGTGCATAAAGGTACTATTTGCTCAAGGTCAGTGAAATTAGGTTTTGTCCAACAATTCTTCCAGTGCTATCAGCCAACGTTTGGATTTTGAAAAACAAGCCAGTAGTTTCGAAGGTAGGAGGTTAGTTTTGGACTATGGTCCTTAGTCATTCGCGCATGAAACATACCCAAGTCATGCGCGGGGAAAGGGTGGTACCCTGTCCCTCTCGGCCGATATAACTTATTGAAAAAGAGAGAGATGCACAAAATCAGCCTCTAACAATGCTAATTCAGACCCACCTTTCGTAGTCGTACTTGCAGAAGACCTTGTTGTCCTTGGTGAAGCAGGACTGCGTGAGGCGGACGCGGCAGACGGAGCAGACGAGACACTCCTCGTGCCACGAGGCATCCATCATCCGCAGCAAGAAGCGGTCCGTGATCTTCAGACTGCAGCCGGCGCAGCACTCGAGCTGCTCGCACTTGACCTCACCTGGGACACCACGGAGAGGCTAGGTCAGCTCCAGGATGACAACGTTAAACGTTCGCGGCGTATGAATGTGTAAGTGATAAATGAGGGGAAAACGGTATAGTGGGAAGGGAAAGGTAGAAAAGGAGAGGAAGGAAAGAAAAAGATAGGCGAGAGTCAGGGGTATAAGAATGGGACATTTGAAATTTGTGGAACGCATTGAACACAATGTATTTCGAAAGTGCGACGGATAGGGCAAACGTCTTTGCATAATGCTTTCTTTCTAACCGTTCTGCGTGTCGAGGCAATATCAGCCCGTTTCCGCAGAGCGCACCCCAAAATATAAGGTTGAGGCCTTCATGACCTTTTGGTGGTTCACGCTACTTCAGACTCAATCATATTATGTTGACCGATTTTTCGTCGAAACAGAACATTTCATTGCGAACGATAAACGTCCAGTTGTTTCCTATGACTGTTGTTCCATATTTTGACATGGCTGCTTTTTCGCTATAAGGGCTGGCTTTGACCCGATTCCATAAACTATGCAATTTTCATGATATTTGAAAACCTTCAAACGTTATAAGTTATAAGCATCAAACAGCTGATATACCTAGATCTGAGGGCCCGGTAAGTAGGCTGTCGTTCAAAAGTCATTCCTTCACATAACCGGCGATGTAAGATACCGAATGTAAGATAGTGGGTAGCTACACAATACACATGTACAACGAAAACCGTGAACGAGATAAGTTCCAGTTACCCGCAAACTGTAATTCTCTAGCCTAAAAGGTCGTCTACGGCTCGTAACCTCCGCTGCTCTCAAGGTCCACAGCGCGGCGGCGGCGGAGCTGTCATGTGTATTGCGGCACAGTATGTCGTCAGGCGTCTACTCCTAGTGCCATCTATGGGCAGAACCTGAAACTGGCTGCTCGGTGCGCCCACTCGCGGTCCACGGCGGCCGCGCCATGATTTTAGACTCGTCCGTCCCGTGCTTCTATCCTCAGGATACTGAAATCCTTCTCCTCCACGCCGCAACCCCCCTCCGGGCTGGACAGGCAACTTTATCTCATGCGGGCTGCTCCCTTGGAGCGGCACCGCTGCTCCCGAGGGAGCGCACCCCGTAGCCGGGTGCAGTGAGTGCCTTGGGGCTGGGTGGCCTGTCCTCTGGACGGGCTCAGCCCCGGCGACTCACTAGGGTGCCTGCCCAGACCAATGTCTCCCCCTATATCCTATCATCCTCCCGGCTCTGAAATGGTCTCATTGGACCGAAAGGGCCTAACCCAACAAAACAAACAAACAAACAAGATTTTAGACTATAGGTGAAGTTTGACCGCTCGGGGACAAACGGTGGACGCCTAGGCGGTGATCAAGGGAAAAAGACGGCTACCTCGCTGTGTTACGGGCTTTAGAATGTCGGCCTCTCATATCAGACACCAGTTCAGTCGGTGATCACACAATCCGGACAGGTGTGGCGATGATGGTTAGGCAGTCGGCACGCTGTAGCTTTGCCATAGTTCCAGCTTCTGGAGGTGCTGTTAACCTTTATGTGCCACGCAAGGTTTCGCCATACTAAACGGTCTGAATCTAATAAGGTCTCGTCTGATTAGGTTCCGTTTCTGGGCCGGGTTACCCACCGCGCATAGGCGTGTCGGCCGGTTGACGGTTCCAGCCAGGGGTGTAGGATCGCAAAATAGGTTGGGGGGGCTGAGCCACGGACGCCGGTGGGGGCGGCGACGAAAGGTGCTGACCAGGGAGGGGGGAGGGAAAAACCAGCGGTGGAAAATGTGTTGACCGGGGGGGGGGGGGGGGGGGAGCTTGAACCGTGGTGGTGAAAAGCGGGTCTATGACTTGAGTGATATGACTTAATCTCTCCCCCTTGATCCAAGTTCAGGCTTATAAAATAAGGCGTAGGTATTTATACTCCGGCTCAACGTTTTACAACCACATGTCCACATTTATGCAGTGTATGTTCCCGCTCTTTTCAAATGCAAAGTGATGCCACTAAAACAGTATAGGTATGGTCTTCTTATACTTAACCCTCGCCCCGCTGGGGGGGTCAATTTGCCCCCGTGTGGTTTTTTCTGAATAACAAGAAAACGGCGGCGCGCAGCGCCGCCAAATTTTTTGTACCTTATCGGGCATCAATTTGACACCTTCACACAAAATTTCAAGTCTTAGGTCACCTTAGGTCAGGAGTTATTGAGGTCAAACTGAGGTCATGTTCGAGCAAAAATGAGCAAAAAACATGAATTCTTGAAACGCTCACAGAAGCTACAGTTACTAAGCAAGCAAAGTTCTTTATAATGGTCATGTCGAGAAAAGACTGCGCTACAAATCTGCTATCTCGGATTTTAAAAATTGTGGGATTTTAACCCCCAAAATTCAAAAAGTTGATTTAAAAAAAACGCAAAAAAATCCAAAAGTTTTTTGACTTTCGAACAAACCGGAATAAATGTGATATTCCCTGCGCTCTTCTATCTGCATACCAATTTTAGATCGATACCTCTTTTTTTGGTCAAGTTATAGCGAAAAACATGGGCGTCACCACCACTAGGGACACTAGGGACATTGTCCCTAGAAGTTTTGAAATCATCGAAAACTACTAGGGATTGTCCCTAGAAGTTTTTGGAGTTCCCTCTACTGGGGACACGCAAAGAACCCGGGACACGATAATGGCGCAACTTGCTCAGCTCTCCGAACACATGTGTTTTGCCTTGCGAACGGTCGCGTCAACATCGCCACGGTAAATAAAAAGGCCCGCGAGCGGTGTGCCTCCCCACAGATGTGACGGTGCCCTCCGGCCTCCAGGCACGTCCGTGTGGTCGCCGTAAAGAGCTGGATACGGCAGGCCGGCACTCGTTCGAGAAATTGGTCGAGTTTGTTTCCCAGTCACCCGAGGAGACACCCGAGCCGATTCTGGAGGTGCCCAGCATGATTGCTGAAACGAACTCGGCTGGTTACATACCGGTCCAGCTTATAAACCCGACCGATGACGATATGCAGCTGCACGCCGGTTACGAGCTGGGGCAGACTCAGATGTATGAGGGGCTGGTCGCCACAGTCTGCGTGGACCCGGCGGGAGGTCAGGATCAGGGCAGTACTGGGCCGCCGCTCTGGGCCGGCCGCTGGCCAAGCCAACATTTCCTAAATCAAGGCCCTCTGGAATATCGGAGTGGGGATCGGAGACGGCGGGTAGAGGGGGAAGGTATCAGTGCCATGCCCCCCCCCCCCAAGGGAAAAACAGGGGTCATCATATAATTTGCCCCCCCCCCCTCCCAAACAAGCCATGGGGCCCCGGCCCTTATTCGATTGTCACGAGGCTCAAGAAACCCACGCCAGCCATTAACAGCTCCATACCGGTCTTCGAGGGTCCTACACTGACCTCTGAGGGCCCTTCCATGGTGGTCAAGCGCCCACATTGACCGTGGAGGACACGCATTGACCTCTGAGGGCCCTCTGCTGGCCTTTAAGAGCCCCTAAACTGGCCTCAGGGGCCATCCGGCGTCTGAGGGCCTCACATCTGCCTCTGGTGGCATTTCTGTCTCTGGGGTACCAAGACTAACATTTACGTGTCCCTGACTCCTGAGGGCCCTGTACTGGATTTTGAAGACCCGATGCCGGCCTCTAAGGGCCTGCATCGGCCTCTGAGGGCCTATTTTGGCCTTTGGGGCCCTCTGCTGGTCTGTGGGATCTAACGCTGGCTCATGCCGGTCTTTTAGGACCCAACACTGACTTCAGATGCCCCAATGCTGGCCTGTAAGGCCCATATTAGCCTCTGAGGGCCCCGCACTGGATTCTGAAGACCCGATGACGGCCTCTAAGGGCCCGCATCGGCCTCTGAGGGCCAATCTTGGCTTTTGAGGGCACTCTGCTGGTCTCTGGGGTCCAACGCTGGCCCATGCCGGTCTTTTACGACCCCACACTGATCTCTGAGGCCCCATGCTGGCCTGTAAGGGCCAATATTAGCCTCTGAGGGTCCCGCACTGGATTCGGAAGATCCGATACCGGCCCTTTTATGGCTTGCATTGGCCTCTGGGGGGCCATCTTGGGCTCTGAGGGCCCTCTGCTGGCCTCTGGGGTCCAACGCCAGCCCATGCCGGTCTTTTAGGCCCCACACTGACCCCTGAGTGTTTCATGCATGCCTGTAAGGACCCCTAGCCTCTGAGAGCCCAAGTCGACCTCTGATGGTCTCAAACTGCCATTAGGCCCTTTACTGGTCTCTGAGGCCGTTAAACTGGTCTCTGATGGCCCAAACCGACCTCTAAACACACCGATCTCTGATGGCCCAGTTTCTGCCCTTGAGACCAAAGACTGGCCCTATGTGCCTCTGAGGGCCCCGTACTGGCTTCTGAAGGATCGATGCCGGTCTCTGAGGACCCATACCAGTCTTTAAAAGCCCCACACTGACATCTGAGGCCCACGCTAGCCTCTGCGGGTCCCAAAATGGTCTCTATGAGCCCCAGCCAGCCTATGAGGTCACTAAACCGGCCACTAATGGCCCTATTTTGTTCTCTGGGGGCCCAAGACTTGCCTTTGAGCGTCACGCACTGGCCTCTGAGGGCCCACACCGGCCTCTGGGGCCCCATAGCGGCCTTTGAGGCCGGTATGGTAATAATGGGACTCCTGAAAGCTAGCACTGGGCCTCCCGAGGGTCGACAGGGCCTCTTTGCCAAGTTGCCCCCGCCCCCCCCCCCCCCCAACGCCAAGTCTGCGACCGTCCCTGCATGCATAGGCAGAAGGATGTGGGCACGCGTTTCATGATCGAAGAATATGCCTACTAGTAACTTCATCGTTTTTTTCCAACTAAATATTAATTATTGTCCCTCGTTTTAAAATTAGAGTGGCCGAAACCCAACGAGGAACGCAGATTTGGGGGTAGGTGGGCATTGGCGACCAGACTCAAGCAAAGGTTTGTGGTGACGCCCTGGAAAAGTGTCCTTAGAAGTTCTGAAACCGTGGTGACGCCACTGGCGAAAAAAACTGTTCAAAATTAAATAAAACCTAAAACCTACAACCTACAGCCTAACCTACAGTGTCTCTCCTTGGTTGCAAACAGAAGTGTGACGCCTGCTTTACTACTCCCCAAAATAGTGCCATTTAACCTTGCCAAGCTGAGCTTTCTTTGATTTGTCCATACCTATTTTAAAATGTTGGGGGGGCTGACTGGCAAGTTGGGGGGGCTGACCAGCCAGTTGGGGGGGCTGAAGCCCCCCCCAACTGTATAGGATCCTACGCCCCTGGTTCCAGCGGTGGTGCAAACGATGCTGCTGGCATTGAATGGGATGCAACTCGGTGCAGTCTCGAAAGTCTGTGCCCACATAGTCAAAATGAGTCCAAAATCAGGCATCAGCCGAGGTGTGCACTGTACTGCAAATAGCTAAAGCTGTCGTGTGTGTTCACTTGGATCAGAATGGATAAAAAGTTCGATTCAAGCAATTAATTGATTTTTGAAATATGTGTAATCGTATGAGTTATAAAGACATGCCTACAAGCTGGTCTTATAGATAAATATCTACGCGGAAGCATGCGCATTTCTATTTCTTGATTCTTGTAGCATCCCTTGTAAGACCGTTATTCGTTAAAATGGCTGTTGAATAGGCTTCTGCATCAAATATGTGTAGTTTTGGTCTATTGGTAGCTATTCAGATTTCAGAGCTGAGGGGTGAGAGGAGGGAAGAGGGAGACAAAGGGCCGAGTCGACCAATCGACTGATGCACCTCAGCAGCTGAGCTCATGATGTTGGGACGAAGCACCGTGGCTAGACATCAGCTCAATCGGTCCATTTTTTCTGTAGAAAGTACTCGTCTGGGTTGGGCCTTGTTGGACGCTAGGAAAACCCGCTCACTAGGCTAGTTCCAATCCCAGTAGTATCCCGCCCTGGCCGGGTCTGACGTTCCTCCGGATAGCCCCGGGTTTCCCGAGGCTATCCACAGTCGCGCCCATGCCACCCTTGGTTTCCGGTACTTACTATGGCCACCAGCCGCCATCCTTATGGCTTCGAAAGTCTCCTGCACCATCCCGAACAGCGCTTCCTCTCCTCGCACAGACACAAGTCCACGAGTCACAGACAACCGGCGCCGAAACACAGGGACAAAACCGACGCACCGTCACGCCAGTCTCATCTGACGGTCGTCAGAGCACTGCCGTCCGCCGGCCGCCATTGGCGCTCCGCCGCTGGCCCCGCCCCCCGCGGCGGCCGGCAGGGGCGGGACTACGGACCGAGCTGGCCGCTGATTGGCTGCTGACTGATATCGACCGGAAGGCTGGTGCGGTGCTGACTGGCCGGCGTGGGACGTTTTGAGGCTGCGGCGGCCGGGCAATCTGTCGCGCCCGGCAGCCGGAACAGGCGAAAACATAGCGACTGGCCGGCGAAACGAGGCGGCTCCGAATGGCTGCAGGTGACCCGGCGTATGGACGGAAATTTCTCGCCGCTGTCCGACTCTCAGAAATGTATGAGGGGTCATTCGACTTGAACAATCATTTTAAAACGGAAACAGCCATCAATGTTTAACCCTTCACTAGAATCCGTTTATTTCTAACCAACTATTATTGCAACACAAATGTTTGTGATGGCATGGGCAGATGTATAACAAAGATTCATCAACAGCGCTCACTAAACGGTGGTGATCACATTTCAACTCATTTCATCTTTGTCCATTTTTGTCTCTACCTACACGGCGTAGTAAATATTCAATGCTTCCAAATTGTGCATGATTTTTGAAGTTCTTTTCGTTAAAAACGGTCCCTTATTTCAATTTCAGGAAATCAAAATTATTAAAAACTACCGTCATGGGATTTCTTTTGGCCAGCAAAATAAGAAAACAATTCTTTTGAAATGTATCTAATACAGGTATTGCATGCCTACCTGCAGTTGATGGAACACTTTTGACTTTTGAGCGGAGAATAATGTAACCCGCCGTAAAATGAAGGAATGAATGAGCTCGTGTAACCGGTTCAAAAGCTCCAATGCATTATGATGAGGTGTGATTTCCAAACCTAACCATGACATATTTACGCATTAATGACATATTTCCTGCAAACTTATCGAAAGAGAGGTCGGATAACTGAGCCTGAAAGTGAAGTTATAGGTATGTATGTGGAGCAGTGTAAAAAGCAAAACGTTAAATTTGGCATTTGACTTTTTCCACTAAAAATAGAGAAAATATCTAAAAGGTCGACTTTTAACCCTCGCCCGCACGAGTGCGTCTAGCGGCTGGTAGGGACAATTATGAGACAGTGGTTGCGCGCTATATACAAACTGAATTATCGCAAGGCTACTAAATCAAATTGTGTTTACGCATTGGTATCTTCGGTCTTTGTTATTGTTTGGGCTGGCTGGCTGCCAACAGTGTGCGTTTGTTATTTATTTTTGTTTTCGACAGAAAGAAACAACTCACAATTTCGAAGAGATTACCTTTTTGACATAGACACTCAGAAGATTGGTGAAAAATGTGATGAGCTTGAGATATTTAAAGATTGAGATGAGGAGTGAGTGAGTGTTGCCGTTATTTTATTTTTCGTTTTCATCAGAAGATGGATTGAAATGTGTGATAAATAGGTATTCCAGAGATGATTGTACCTAAATGAAGATCCGAGTTGAAAATTGAAATGGAAAAAAAGCAAGAGAAAACAGGGATTATTATTGTTACAGTAGTTTGGTTATGATTCTGCAAACACCTTTGTCATAACCACAAGTACCTACTTATTGGGTTTGCCAAGCAGTCTATCAAGGTGTTCATGGATAGGCTTATTTTCAAATAATAACAGTAGGCTCCTGATACATGTAGTATCATGTGTGTGATGAGCTGAGAGCTGATGTTATCTCTTCTGTCATGTGCATTGATAGTAAATACGTGCATGCTTGGACCCTGGCAGATGAATAAAAGCATTCATATTTCATAATAATGAATAATGTTGCTCTCTCTTCATGACTCATGATATGTTATGGAAGTGTAATGGGGTCTGAATGAAGTCAACCATAGCTCATTTTGAAATGCATTTCCCGCTGGCTGGAAGCTGCACACACCACATGTAAAACTGAAATTCATTCATTGGTTTTGGCATAAAAATAACAAAGATTATGACAATCAAATTTTGGAGCCTGGAAGGAGTGTTCAGTGTTAGAATTCACTAGTGCTGGTAATGGTCTTCCAGAGTCTCAATTCCTATTCTGGTTGCAATGCACAAACTCTGATGCACCTTGACACATTCTCACAGACAACTTTCAGTTCTCACATGTATTGAAACACTGCACCATTTTCAATGCATGACAGGCAAGTAGGCACTATCATTGATTGAAGCAGGACCTTCAAAAGCAGACATTAGACCAGGAAATACAAGCTAGCCCCTGTTACTTCGTACTAACGTTTCAGCAAACCCATATCATATTGATATTCAATTATGGTACATCTCACAAACATCAGAAGGTAGGTAGGTCACTATGTTTTTTGCTTTAATCTAGAATATGGACATTAAGTATTGATATTGTAATAATATTTCACTTCCATTTTAGATGACGTTTCATTAACTAAATATTGATATAGAAATAAATTATCATTATGAGCGTGGGCACAACATCAAACTTGGTGCCCAAAGCAGAAAGCTCGCCACTCAGCATGCAAGTCAAATTTAATTTCCAATTAATCCGACAAAACACATGGTTGCAATTTGCAAATAACAATAACATGTTAAACTGAAGATGAACGAGTTACATATACTGTATTATTATGTGAATATTACTAAATTAGAACATGGTAAATCCAGCATGAATTTTGCATTCTGATTCAATCAAACACGGTCTACAATGATCCATCTGGGATTTGGGAAACCAATAAACCATCAATAAACTCAGTTGGTATTCATTCATTGGCGATATGATTTATATAGATGCACTTCCATACCTATCTATTTCAATTTATACTTGCGACAACAACCTCTTGCTACTTGACTTTCACTTCATCTTTGAATATTTTCATCTCGTCACATTTTCAATCAATCTTCTGAGCGTGACAATAGCAAAAAAGTAATCTTTCGACATTGTGAGATGTCTCTTCCTGCCGAAAACAAAAATAAATAACAAACGCACACTGTTGGCAGCCAGCCAGCCCAAACAATAACAAAGACCGAAGATACCAATGCCCAAATACAATTTGATTTAGTAGCCTTGCGATAATTCAGTTTGTATAAAGCGCGCAAGCACTGTCTCATAATTGTCCCTACCAGCCGCTAGACGCACTCGCCCGCACATGCCATTTTCCCATCCTAGAACGCACATGGGGGGGGGGGTGGTTGCCACCCCCCCCCCCGCGCCATTTCGTTCCTGTTGGAGATAGAGCTTAGCAGTAAAGACCAAAAAGATTCTTTGGGAAGAGACGAATCCAATGATACCCAGTTTTACCTTCTCAGGTCAGTCATTGACCTTCCATGTCAGGTCAAACTAAAAAATGTTGCTGTTTTGGGTCACCGTTGGATATCAAGTGCGCTGCTTATCAAATACCGATGACGATGCTGTTTTCTGGTGCCAAGCCAGCTAGAACCTCTTTGTCACACTATCCGACCAGAATTTGGCTGCTGAGGTCATTTCAGGTCAAGTTAGGTCAAGGTCAATTATATGTGTTTGTATGTCTGTGTGTGTCTGTGTGTATACTGATGTGTGCACCGATTGTTTTTGGGTCCATATCACATGAAATCATGATCTGAGAAGCTTTTACCAAAAATGCAGTCAAAAAACTTCACAAAAAGTAAATTCAGCTTGCCTAAAACGCAATTATCTTAGATGACCTAGGTTGACCTTGACCCTGACCTTGACCCCTGTACATCGTCGAACAACATGTTCCATGATAGGTGGGAGGTAAGACTGGCAAAAAAGGCCGAAATCAGGGTGTCAAAAGCTCACAAGGCCCATGGCAAACGCAAGATGTTGAGAATTGGCCATTTGGGTCATGACATGACCTGAAAAACAAGGTCATATCTCCGAAACCAAAAATCACAGAAACTTGAAATTTTCAGTGGACATCAAGAAAGGATAGACGAGCAGCTATACGAAAAATCAGCCTTTAGCTCTAAAAATGTTGAGTGCAGAGCAGAAAGACTGCCTGGGGGGGGGGGGGGGTGGCAACCCCCATGTGCGGGCGAGGGTTAAGCTGTACCAACTGGCGGATCCAGAAAGGCGGCCTTGGCCGCTACGTGGGGGGTGAGCATCTGCATACCCCTGAACAAGTTTCGCCAAATTTCGAAAACTCAACGGATTTCGATTACTTATTCCCTACTGTGGAGTTTAAAACAAACTTTTCGTTACAGAAGTTGTTAAGTTTTCGTTTTATCATGAGAAACGCAAAAATCCGTCGATTTCGGGCCTTTGCCCCAAATGCCCCGCCCCCTCCCCGGACTCGGCAGTGGCTGTACCTGCAGGTACAATGATTCTAGAACGAGCTGGATGTCTGCATAAATAAGCATTGAACAATGAACAGGTGAAAAAAGACTTAGATCATGCCTTGTATGCCTGTTACGTCCTCATACGCTTTTACTTTTTAGGCTACCAGAAGACTCCTGTAATTATTTCTATCAGCCTTCCCTGGAAAGAGTTTTACGCAATGCAGCTTGATGCTGGGACAGTCCCAGCTTCTCTCTTCAGCTGCTTTAATTGGTCTCGTATTTTAGCAGGTATTATCCGGTGTAAGCTCCGGTATAATCCGCATTCCCGCAGAGTTCTGTCGGTGTCGGCACGTGCCGGCTGTTGGCACGTGCTCCCTCCCTTTCTGTCCCCCGTCCCGGCACGTTTAGTCGCCTGCGTCAGCCCGTCCGCCGTCACGGATGGATAAACACCTGAGCGGTCCCAAACAGCGGCTGCGCCCGTCGCCCGGCTATCACTCGGTAAAAACGGGCACGCACGCGCACCACTGCACAGGTTGCCACGGGCGAGCTGATGAGACTGCAGAGCTACAAGGGGTCACAAATGGAGGAGAAAAGACGCGTAGGGCTTAGTGGTCGTCATATGACCCGTGGAATTAAGATGGCTTCGATGCTTGAATTAAGCTTCAGCCTTCACAGCTCGTTATCTGCATCATGCACTCTGAAGGACGTCAGGGGCTATGAAAGCAAAAGTTTCACATCTCACTTGGAA